TCAGTCTAGTGAACTTGCTGTAGTGTATTCGCCTACAGCAAGCACCCATGTGTTGCACCAGGTTGTCACCAAACAACCTTGACAAGCGAGATCAGTCACTGCCTTTCAACAGGGTCGTTCAACACTATGATAGCCTTATCATATTATCTGTTCCCTTACTTCAGAATAATACTAGGGCTACAGACGTTTCTAGAATGGCCACCATATGTGCTCATAGGGTTCTCACTATCAAGATTTGAAACACTTGATACCTTTGTCATGGTTCTACCATTCTAAGGACATATATCAATACATATTGCAATAATAATGATTTACGCAATATGGAATAAAATGCCTTTTATTGATTAATGAACATTATTACAAAGAGTCAATTCTACAATAATTGATTAGCTCTAGGGTATCTACTTTAACAATTTCTACCATATCGTGTAAATCATAATTGTATGTATTGATATATGTCCTTAGGATGGTAGAACCGTGACGAAGGTATCAAGTGTTTCAAATCTTGATAGTGAGAACCCTATGATCACATATGGTGATCATTCTAGAAATGTTCGTAACCCCAGTATTAATGTAACTAAGGACACAGATAATACGGTAAGGTTATCATAGTGTTGAACAACCCTGTCGAAAGACAATGACTGATCTCACTTGTCAAGGTTGTTTGCCGACAACCTGGTGCAACACGTGGGTGCTTGCTATAGGCAAGTTCATTGGACAGACCCACCAGAGGATTCCATATGGATGGTAACCCCAATGTCTATGGAATAAATCCTTTAATTAATAGTAGTGCATGTGATCCTTAGACTTGAGATCACCAGAGTGCCTTGTGCACCGGTTGGTGTAGTTTGACACTAGCCTAACGTAGTTCTATTCAGAGCTATCAATACAGTAGTGATTGGCTACATTGAGGAGTGTAACAAGACTATGGTGGATTGACAAATGATTCATCACTCTCGGGTACAGGAGAAGTTATTTTACTGTGCAATTCAATAAATGGCAATCACACCAAATCTATGGCCACAATGGGATTGAGATGTTGCTCAATCCAATTTATTATTCTGGTCATTGATCTAGTAACTAAATACAAAGATATCAAGGATAACTGAGGTTGACACTATTTTTATACCTCAGCCTCGATGAGATAACGTATGATGAAATGATTTGATTGCATGGTAACCATATCGTTGATAGGTAGCTATTTCGATGAATCTGAATCTATCAAGTGGTCATGATGCCTTGCTAGGGTCAATCTTGGTCTGTGAGTAGTGAGATGATTAATTGGTGTTAATCGCAATACTACTCACTGCCGATATGATGAGGAGCTTATGGGTCACACACTTAGAAGATAATTTAAGAATCAATTTGTGAAAAGGGTATTTTCATCTTTTAGGATTAAAAGGTATTTTGGTAATCTCACAGTGTAATTAAATTTGCTGAGATTGTTGCCTGTATTTAATTTTAATAATAAAATTAAAATTAGTGAGATTATATTTAAATATATGTGCGCATATATTTAAATGTATTATTATTGTTAATTAAATGTTAATATATATTGATTTTAATAACAATAATAATTAATTAAATTTAAAATACCATTAAAGGGGTGTTTGGTTGCAAGAGTGAATTAGAGTTGGAGCCCATGACTATTCCTAAGTGGAATAGGGTTTTTAATTGTTGCACGATATAAGTGCAACTTAAAATTAAAAAGATATAACATTATTAAAAAAATAAATAAATAAATAAAACCCTAGGCAACCTCTTCTCTCCCTCTCACGTTTTTGACATTGGTGGAGAGAAAATCATTTTTCTCTTCTTGGATTCTTGAAGCCATCAAGTTGATCTAACAAATCTCTTTTGGATCTACGGATTATCTTCATGTGGACGACATGAACATATTCTTAATCCTTGTATGGATTTGGTTTTTACACAAATTTGTTCATTAACATGCAAAACATTATAATCATTGCCCAGATTTTGGGTTTAGAGTAATGACAAATTTGGTTTTAAAATTATTTTATTGTGCTTTTTCCACTACGCTAATCTGATCATTTACTTGCAGAAAACCTAGAGAACCACCAGAAAATCAACTACCTCAAACTGCCAAGAATTGTTCTCCTAACTCAAAAACTTACTCTTTTTGGAACCAAAGTCACCCCAAACAACTTAGTTCTTGCTCCAGAATCAAATCAAACCTAGAAACTCCAAGAAAAATGCCAGAAAAACGTAAGAAACCAAAGCACTAAACTCTTTCAAGAAACTAGTCTAATCTCGCCCAGATTGCCTCAAAACCACAAAGAACACGAAGAAAAATGAAAGCAACAATTGAGATAACTTCGGAAGAAAGAGAGAAGAAAACGAAAAATGTAAGGAAGATGAATAGTAGCCAAAATGCAATTTCCCCTTTTCTAATACCCAACCTGACAAAGTCTACACATGGCGTTAGTCGACTAGTCCTCGAATATTATAACCCTTCCATTTCCCACTCGAGGCTTTTTACTTTCCCACTCGTACCAACCTCTCATGTTCAACCCTACACATGTCCTTCTGGTTGTGATCTAGAAAAGCCAAACGTGACACATTCAAGACTCGCTGGAAAAGGAAACTTCTCATTTCTCGCTCAAAACTGAATGAAGATTAAACCCTACACGTGCCACGCATCTGTAAGTTTGTACCTCAAATCCTCCCACTCGGCTCGGTAAACCGAGTGGAGACACCTACATAGGATGTCCTCACATTCTCCCACTCGGCTTGGTAGACCGAGTGGGAACACCTACAGGATGCGCTTCACATCCTCCCTCTTGGCTCGGCTAACCGAGTGGGGACATATACAATGGATACACCTTGCATCCTCCCATGACATGAAGCACCTTCATTCGGTCTAAGTACATCATCAATCAGTCAAGGGTACTATCATTCAGCCTAACACCTTTACTCAATCAAAGTACTCTCTCTCGGCCTAGCACTGTCATTTGACCTCTACTTGTGCTTGCATAAACTAAAGACAAAATCTATCTCACCTAATTAAAAATCCCTTTCGGCTTGGTTAATTGAGTGGGGGACACCTACAAATGATGTGCCTTACATCCTCCCACTCGACCAACTTAACTAAGTGGAGATACCTATAACACACATGAAGGATGTGTCTCACATCCACCCACTCGGTTTGGAGAACCAAGTGAAGACTCTTATGAAGATCACACCTGGCACCATCCCACTTAATTCGATTGACCGAGTGACAACACCTTCACTCATCCAAGAGTATTTTCACTTGGTCTGAGATGCCTCCATTCGGCCCAGGTTACCACCACTCGAACTGGACTACTCTCCAAGCTAAATACTCCTTAACTTAGAGAGTGGGGGGCTAACTATATGGGCCAAAAATCTTCTTGGGCCTTATCAAGCCTAAGCATGAAACATCTACTATGTGGCCCAAGGCCATGGCCCAATTCCGATTAGGCCTATGCCAAGATCCATATTATGGGCCAGCCCATTTCACCAACCAAACAATTAACCAATGGGATTCTCAAAACATTAAGGCCTTGCCACCAATTGGGCCTCATCACCATTCCACTTGGGCCCAAGCACATCGATCTAGGATCATTCCAAGAACCCAGAGTTCTACTTAAACCCTACTTCATCCACTTCTTATTTTCATCTACATCCTAATTCATCTAAGATCGAGAATCTTGTATGAATTAGGACTCTTACTTCTAAGAAGGTAAGTAAATCAAGTCTTTTCTATTTACTAGAAATCAACTATTATGGACTGAGAGTCCTACTAGGATTTGAAGATCCTATGTCCTCTATATAAGCAGAGGTCTTGCCTTTTATTAAACATCCATTATTCAATACCACCCACTAGCTCCTAAGTTCTTGCTCCTAAGAACTATAAACTTTTGTCATAGCTCTAGTCTTCGATCAGACTTTAGTAACCCTTCCTCCCCTTAGCCCTTACTAAATAGCCTCTTTCAACCTTGCTGACTTGAGCATCGGAGTGCCTACGGCAGACACCACACCGGTATTTTACGTAAGTTTTGCACTTGTTTCTTTGTGTGTGCAGGTTCAGCAGATTATCAGTGGCCTCAATCTCGCAAGATCAGTCTTTTTTCGTAACCGTAGATTTTTACTATCTACAACAACATAACTGAAATAATTTGGAATTTGGAACTTTATTAATTAAAAAAGGTAAATAGTTATTTTGTATATTTTGAAACCATATCGTAATGGTCAATATCATAAAAGATAATAAATGTGGGTATAAATAACAAACTTGTGCATATCATAAGGTCACAACTCTTTTTTTTTTTTTTTTTTTGTTAAATTACTATTAAGTGTCCTAGTTTTGTCTTTTTTATACTTGTGTTCATTGTTAATTGTTTTATAATCATGTGTCCTCATCTTGATTTTCTCCTTATATGACAAACAAGCAAAATATTTTACTAATTGGCATTAAAATCAACCAAAAATAGAAAAGAGCCATTTAATACAAGAAGGTTGTATATCAATAACGGATCATTTATTTCTAATTTCACAAATTAATCAAACATTCGATTAAATATAGCAAATAAAATTTAAAAGATTAGAACCAAATGTTGCTTCGATGCTGTACGTTTTCCTCTGTCTCTCTATCACTATGCCTTGTTCTTTGTGTCTCTATGTCTGAGCATCATCAAATCCAAAAAATAATAATAATAACTATTTTAGGGAAACATTTTAACAAATTAGCTGATAATATAATGTGAAATTATCGACCTTTATAAACTTAGGTGATGCTAAACATTGCGTTTTTTCATACTCTCCATTGTTAATCGGCTAATCAGGTACATTCATATGATTAAATATAACATAATGCAAGATAATTACTGCAACATGTAAGGCTTCTTGTTGAATTTAATGGGAGTTATGTATACATTACTGATTTTGTTTTTCATCTAGAACTGGTTTAGGCTCAGGGGCTATAGCTAGCTAGTTTCATAGAAGTTGGAAATGCAATGAATCTAAAGCTTGTTTTTGTTTACCTTTGCATCAGCTGGGCACCTCTCAGGTTGTCTGACTATATAAATTATATCTCCAGCACTGTCATACAAGTCCTGATTCCGATGCCATGTCCACAAAGCATGAGTCTCATTTTTCACCTGCAACCCACGTATTGCCATTACTATTCAGAATATATGTTCAATGTCAATAGAACTATTTCAACTGAAACTTCCATATATCAAGTATTTTGGAAGTCCAATACAGGAAGTCTAAGTACTAGCAAGTTGTAATGTTGAATAGAATGGAACTATACACTTAGAATGTTATTGATTTCAAAGCTCTGCTGCTTGCATTCACCTTGGAAATAAACTTTTCATTCTTAAGCATTGTTTAAAGAATCATAATGTCTAAACCCTTTTGTCACTTGCAGAGCAACGCATTGAGTAACTAAGATATATACCTAAATTAATTCACCAGGTACTAGGAGAAATTAATCTGGAATTTGGAAATATTGAGTTTTGTGTATTATGTGCGTGCGAGGCAAAGAGACAGAGAGTGAGACAGACCTCTAGAATACCATGACCAAAGCTACTTTCGCGATAAGCACTATAATCAGGTTGTCGGTCCCAGCAAAATTTACCAGCCGCTGGCCCTGATGTAAAATTGAATGCACAGAAGCCACCCAGTATTTTATCTGGAGTGCTTGATGGTTTCGGACAGTTTCCATCTTCATCAGCATGTGTAATCGCCATTTTTTCTCGATTGCCACCATCACCTATTGTTATATATACAGGACCACAAGGGTCCAAAGTGTAGTTATATACTCGGTTTGATCTCTCATAGGCATGAACCTGTTAATTAAATGTGTCCAAAATCCCTTTAGTATGCAAATAATTTGTTGAAATTAAACAGAAAAGGACGAGGTATGACATTACACTTACATGTCCATTAAAGACTATGTCAACACTATACTGGTATAGTAATTCTTCCATTGCTACTCGCATACATTCGGCTTCTCTGTAATGCGCGGTGTAGGTGCTATACCAAGGAGGGTGCCACGTTGCCACCAACCATGGAGTCACTTCTCTATCAACCTTAGCCAGGTCTCTTTTCAACCACTTGTATTGTTCTCCTGTAGTAGAGAAACTAGAACAGGATCATTAGCCATAAATATGTACTGGACATGGAATACAGAAAGAGAAGGGACAGAGTTGATGGGAATAAATTGATTGACGACCATGAGTTCACCTGATTTGTCATAGGAAATGTAAGCACCAAGCATGATAAAATGTATCCCGCCTGCATTGAAAGAATAATAGAATGTCGATGGGGATCCGCTCTCTTTGTAAGGGAATGCAAATCGAGAACTGTAAGCAACAAAAGTCTTATTTTCAGCCTGCTCTTCATACTCATGGTTCCCTTCTACAACCATTATTGGAACTTTAGACAATAGAGGCTGCATAAATCTGTTAACAAACCAAAATTCTCAGAAATTGGCAGAAGCAATCTCTTAAACTTTTTATGACATTGCTTTCATAAGTTTCCGAATTCAAAAAGTAAAAAATTCAGATAACAGAAGTACGAAGTTTTACCTTCCCCAATAATCCCAACGAGGCTGATAGGTTTCGTGAATGGGAGTTTGCGAAAATGAGCAAGAATAACAATCAGCCCCAGTTCCATTAGTAAGATACAAGTTGGCATAACTCACATCACCAACCAAGAGAATAAGATCAGGATGGTTGCTTATCATGTGGCTGACTGTTGAAGTTGTATTGTAAGTGAGCCCGAGGTCCCCAACAATTGCAATTCTACTTGGGTAACTTCTATGATTGGAATCAGGCATTGTTCTAAAATAATAGATATCACTCATTGCTGGTATTGAAGGATCTCCGCATTGATAATAATACAAGGTGTTTGGTTTCAACCCTGCCCAAACCACATAATGAACATGTGAATTACTTCTCAAATTTTGAAAATGAAATGTATAGATAATGAATATTTTTCGGTCTATAAGATTCTATATAAAAATAAGGGAGGACTCAACTTTGGAGCATATGTGTATTTTAAAAAAAAAAAAAAAAAAAAAAGACACAATATATCAATTCGGTATAACATTAGAAAGAGTAGTCATCACTCAGTTATAATTGTAGTTATACCTCTGAGACGAACATGGTGTATGATTCCGGAAGTGTAGTTTTTCAGGCCTTCAAAAGGATAAAGTTGACCGTAAACTTGGGAATACCCTGTTGCTTGATTAATCAATGGAAATCTTAGCATTCCATATTGAACAAAGCTTGCCACAGATTTTGGATCTAATGCTTGTATGTTGTCACCAATTTGGAAATCCCCTGAAAATTCAATCCGAGCTTTATCCGTTAATTAGATTCCAAAGGACAAGTGACCATAATATAACAGCCTACAATAAGATGAAGATTCAAGGGTTATCTATATGAATAAATCAATTTATGCATTAACCTTTCCTTCTAGAATATTCCTTCACCAAGGGGATCATTCCATTGTTATCTAATGTCCTGGCACGTAAAACCTTCCCATAAAATTAGAAAAAGAAATAAAAAAAATTAAAAAGAGAAGGAAATTTTTGATTGATCAGATAACCTCTCATTTTTACAATAATTGGTAATCATTTTGGTTCCTTAATCATAATTTATTCCTAATTTCTGTTCTAAGTACGAAGAGTACTTATTGAGCGATTGATTCATACTTTTTATAAATATTCTGCAGAGATTTATTATCTGTTATATGCAAATTGAATATTCTCTCCATGTTGATTTCTCTATTTATGCATACAGAATACCTTTACAATCCCCATTTACAAGTAAAACTCACTAGACTACCTTAATTTGCTCTCTCTCACACACACACACAAACAAACCAAAAAAAAAAACCTTTATTAAATTTGTCAAAAAACATTTTGGGAAAATATGAACATCATCATGAAAGCTCATATCCTCAAAACATTACTTGCAAGGGAGGGCGCTACACCCATTTTGTAAGGCGAGATTACATTAGAATTTAGAAATGAAAACAAAAAATCTATCGCCTGTGGTCGAAATTGAATAAGTGCATACCATCATTTTCTCTGTTGACTCTTAAAAACATAAAAGATTCCTTTTTGCAATTCTATGAAGAAGATTATCGGTTTTATATATACCGGAAAAGTCAAGCTAACAACTTAATCTTATCTTCTTGCAAGTTGCAACCATATTTGCCATCAAATTATCTTATCTTCTTGATCTATACAATGAACATGAAATGAAATAAAAGCTAGCAATAAAGAAAAATCAACTGATGAAAAGAAGGAGACCTGTGATCCAAGATATCCAAACGGAGTCATAGGTTGAAGAGAGAGAGACGGAGATTTGTTCAGGCTCAAATCCCTGGACTGTTCTCTGAACACGAGGATCGGTGGGAGGCAAATCAATGGCGTTCCCTCGGAAACTCTTGTCGAGAGGTTTTGTAAAAGGCTTGAAAGGTCCGTCAAGAGTAGTGGGAATATGAATATCATCTCTACTACTACACGTTAATTTCAATACAAATAAAACAACAAGCGCAACTACAAGCATTGAGACACTTTTTGCCATTTGTTATTTTCATGCAAGCACAGGAGCTTGCATAGACAGAATCCTTTGTGAGAAATGAGAAATGAACGATTGATGAGTGGCTTTTAGGCTAAATATATATGCAATTCTTAGTCGACGTTTGATTAAAGGCAAGTGTTTTACAAATTTTAAATTACAAGATAAGTTTATGTTTTAATTTTTATGAAAATTTATTAAAAAAAAAATTGCGTTTTAAAAGTGCTAACGTATACAAGAGATTACAAGTTAAGGAAGTCATTAATCATATTGCACCATATAATGTATCTTAATAAATTGGGATCTCTTTATAAATTGGAAAGCACATCCCAACTTATAAAAATATGTATTTAATTAGAAAATATGTTAATGACCTGTGAAAGGAGAAGGGATGTGCTGAGAGAAGATGTTGATTCTTTTATTATAATCATTATTAATTATTATATTATTATTACATATGTTTATCTGTACACCATGTGGGTCAAAAAATAACTGAATTTGTTTATCATTTCTTTTAATTCAATTAATTAAATTAAGTATAACGAATATGATAAAAAAAATTGAACACCTGTGTCTATTATAAGTTATTATGAAAATATATTACCACACTTCACTCAACTAAGACTTAAATTATTCTTAGATTAAGAAAGAATGGTTTCTTGGAAGCTAGCTAGAAAAATTCCTTGTTCATGCTCATCTGTCTAACTGTTGCGAGTCGTGTTAATGGGGCATTATGGTTATATTTAATTTTCTTTCTGGTTATAATAATAATTTATATTTATGGGTGCTCAGTTTGTCGTAATGGGCACACTTACTGCTGTTATACAATTACAATATTCTATTTTAGTCGAACATAATTTTTTCATAACATTATCAAATATTAAAATAAATATTTTGTAACATTTAGTGGATATTAAAACAAGTTTAGGTAGGTACGCAACCCAATTAAAGTAATGTGGCAAATAATTAAAGCCAGATATTTTGGAGGCACAACCCAATCATACAAAGCCTTACACCATTTTCATGCGAAAAATCAAAACAGTTTAGTGAATTAAAGTTGCTTTAGATTTTGGTCTTTATTCACTCGTCCTATCCAGATAAGGTGCATTCCAATTGGTGCATATTAGATTGATAGCATTTTTAATCTTTAATTAGTCTAATTAGATAAACATGAATAACAATTATTGCACATTGTTTATGTAATAGTTTCAAACTATCACATTCACAGATAAATCTCTGTTAGAATACCTATAACGTTAGGTGATGACTGCTCAAAAAGAATTAGTACTACAACATGGTTGAATAATGTTGCAAACTGAGTATTAGTGCTTCTTAATTACTTATGGAAAAATGGTGCCTGCTTTTCATCTTTTTTTTTTCAGCACAAGAAAGGTTTCATAATATTTAGGTTTTTGTTTTAGATTTTTGAAGTGGATGATGTAGCAAAACTAGTTTTGGATGAGAAAAAAAATGTTGGAGCGTCATTTCAGAGATTTGTGTGAAGGTTAAGATAAAAGGAAGAATATAAGGGTAATACTGGAATAGAAAGTATGTTTAATTTTATTTGATTATTTTAATTTAATGTAGGGGACTGTTTTGATTCAACCATGTTAAGGATTGCTACAACTTATACATTGATTGGTGTTTGATTTGTTTCATAGTTAATTTTAATAAACTAAATACATGCCCTTTGTTGGATAGAAATGAAAAGCTCAATAGATAAATGAGTTGTAAGTAGAAAATTGGGAAGTGATTTTTAGCCCCATATAATTTATCAATATCCATTTTTTATTTTTTTTTAATAACCTTAATGAAAAATGACTAGAAATGACATTATAATTCTACATATATTCATACTTTATTTTATATGTTTGTTTTAATTTTTAACCTTTAATTCCTATTTTGTTTTAACCTTTAATTTTACTAAAACTGCAGAGAAAATAATCACACAATGAGATGAATTTGAATTGGAATAAGTAAAAGTAAGTTTCAAATTTTAAATTGGGGGAAAAGGTGAAAACAAAAAAACCTAGGGTGTGCTCATTTATGAAATTTGTGTTTTTGTTTTCTGTATTAATGAGAATATTGAAAATGATTAGAAAATGTAAAAATTGAAAACGTATTTGGTATGTTTGTGTGAAAACAATATATAAAAACACGTTTGACATGTTTGTCTAAAAGCACAAAGAAAAAAAATTAAAAGCATGAAATTTATAGTCTACGCAACCAATAAAATGTATTCAAAGTATCACTTATTTTATTCAACTTGATGAGTTTTCTTAAATATATCAATAGTTCACTCGTTGATAGTTTTATGCTAAAAATATTAATATAAAATGTTGTTTTAGGAAAGAAAATATAAAATATGAAAAGAATAAATAAATAAATAAATAAACTTTTATTTAATTTTTTATACTTAAAATGGGTCCACTCATCCTCTCTATGCACTCTCTTCTCTGCCTTTCATCAAATTCAAATACGCTAAATCCATAATCAGACATAATTCTCACGATTCTCTAGGCCAGAAAGGTCAAAACAATACATTAAAAACATAAACCAACAGGTCTCTATTAAGTTTTTTATTGGAAAAAAAATGAGTTTAAATAATAACCTTAATTAAGTTTGAAATTAGGAAAAATAGTATAAATGAAAAACCTAATTAAATTTATCAATCTATTTTTAGTATTAAATAAAGTTTAAAAAGACTTTTTTCTAAAATGTAAAATAAAAATGCATTTAACCATGCGTGGAGAACACCGATAAATTAAATGGGAACAGAAAGTCAATTCTCTGAAAAATTAAAAACAAGAAACTCAAACTAAAACCGAAAGGAAAGTCCAATAAAGGTAATTAATAAACTACCAAAAAACAGAATTGGATACAAATGACGGGGCTGTAAATAGAAAATTAAAGACAATAAACCCAAGCATGAAAGCCCAAAGTAAAACCCAAAGGAAAGTCTCTTAAATATTATATTATTAATTAAACAAAAATGGCTTCATTTCTCTTCCATATTTATACACTTCACATTAATTGATTTCTCATCCGTCCGTACGTGGTAATTATTTATTTGATTATTTCATGACTTCTTGTTGTTATTGTCCGATTTTAAGATGTAATTTGCTTTTCACTTTAGTTTAAATTTTATTATACATTTTTTTATTCCATGTAAGGGACTGATAGATTCTAAACAGATGCAGCGACTGTAATTATCAAAATACCCTTAAACCAACCATTTAGGTTGGGTGGCAGACGACAATCGGTGAACAACCAAATTGGCCACATTTTTGTCAAATTTTGTGCAACTTCTCTTCTTCTCGGCCAGTTTTCGGGCGTTTCTGTCATCAAAAATCTGCATTGCCACCACCATTTGATCTCTCATCATCTCCTCTTCAAAACTTATACCACCCTATCGCCTGATCACTCACCATTTGCCAGAAAAGCCCACAACATTTTCTTGCAAACGACCACTTTTCAGCCATTTTTTTGACCGTTTTGTCAACCAGAAATGTTCATCACCACCACCATTTAAACCCCCTCTATCTGCTCTACAAAACTCTTGTCTCCTTTTGCCTCACTTACTCATTGGTTGTCACCCTTAAAGCTTTTCTGTCTTTTCCTCGAGCACCTGGCGTGCCCCTGAGAGGAGGAGAGCTGGGAATGGTCGAGGGATGATGGAAACCGAGAAAAACAGCCACACTTAGTTCAACAAGCACAACACAACACTCCAATAGCAACAACCAACACAAAACTACAAAAAACCAGCCTCCAAAAAGCTCCAAAACAAGCAAAATCACAAAAACCCAATGGCGAGATGGCAGTGCTTCACAGCCGACAGTTGGAGGGAAACCAGGTAACAGGCTTTGAGGGGTTTTCTGGAGTGACGGCTGACAGTTAAGAGGGTGGTGGAAGATTTGATTTTGGCCGTCGAATTTTGCCGGAATCTGACTTAGAAAGACAAGAGGCAACCGACGAAAAAATGGTTGGTGACTACGAAAACGGTGGAATCTAGCAAATTCAAGGTGAGAGAGGGTTGGATTGCGAAAAGGAGTTGATTTTGGCCGATTTCAATGGGAAAACTAGATGGAATCGACCCGAACTGGCAGGTAGTGGCGCCAGCACTCTCAGCCAAAAAAGGGCAATTAGGCTAGGAACCAGAGGTATTCTGATGCTTTTATCCTTCAACGGTTAAAATATAAAGAAAACTATGTTAGTTTAAGGGTGGGAATATGGATAAATACAACTAACGGTATTAATTTAGGATTTCGCTAAACCTCGGGTGAGAACATGTTGTTTGCTCATAATATATTTGTTCTCTGTTTATCTAAGTCCGAAAACTAATGGTCACCCCAACTAAATTCGGAAATCATAACTTAAATCCCTTACCAGCACTTTATGCTATATCCGATTATAGTAAGGGTAAAATGGACTTTTTATGTACTACTCACTGAAACCAAAATTAATCAGATTCAAACACACGAAATAATACAAAATATTTATAAATAAAAATATTTTCTTTTAGAAAAATCTTAAAATATTGGTTGGCTTTCTACTTCTAGTCGAACAAGAGTTGCAATCTAACAAGATCACATGGTCTTAAACCTTTCTATTGTTGAATTTGAAACAGTTTTTTCTTTTCTTTTCTTTTTTTTTTTTTAATCTTTTGTTTTTACAAAACTTAAAATAAAGAAAGTACAAATATTTATATTTTAAAATATAATAAGAGTAAAATTGTCAAGTCATCAATAAATATACATATAAAATTTTAATGCCAAAAAGTAACAATACAAGGTGTAAAATGTAAACAATGATTTCTGAACTTACTGAAGGCAACAAGAATCTTCGGCTCTTTAGGGGCATAACTGGTATTAATTTATTAACTTTTTTAGAATACAATGATACCTGGCAAGTATGGGTGTGCAAAATAATCTGATATCTGGTATCCGGTCCAGATTCGATCCGAAAAAACCTGATATCCAAAAATTCAGATTGGATTCGGATCATATATATAAGAAGATCCATATTTTCGGATCGGATATCGAATCGGTTATGCAAAAAACCGTATATCTGTATCCGATCCGGTTTTTAAAAACCAAAT